CTGATTGGGCCAGGCATGAGTGTTCGTGTTTTAGTGGATTGATTTTGTATGATGTTGAGGGACAATTGTCCTGTCAGCACAAAGGGTTCGCCTCAGGAAGAGGGAAAGTTGGGTTTCCGATACGTTGGATCATCAGGATTTTGTCAGTTGGCAAGTGGCTTGTAGGTTAGACCTTTCTAAAAGGTTCGGTTGGGTTTTGCATCATCTTTCACGTCTCGCAGTTGCGAAAGTGCATCATGGATCAGGGGCGGTAGTATCGTTGGACGACATTCAGGTCGGTGAGCGCCTTTGTTGTGATGAGAGGCCTGTGGCCATTCTGGAGAGAAAGGGGGAAGGTTTTGCGGAACAAGGAGGTGTCTTTGGAAAAGATACAGTGGGAGCCCAAATGAGGGTCCGAGTGGACGTGGGAGCCGGAGGCAGAGATGCGGGAGCACTATCCAAGGTTGTTCACCCCAGCAGACTTCGAGGACGAAGTCTATTTCAAGTGGGGGAGAATTGTAACGCCCCGATTCTCGAATACCAATTTATGGTTATGAATTGTCATGAATTCAAGATTTACTCGACGAGTTGGTTGCCTGACTCGTCGAGTAGAAGCGGGTTTGGGCCACGTGTTTAAGTGACCAACTCGTCGAGTCGGAAGAGTGACTCGACGAGTTGGAGCTGGATGGTGAAACCCTAATTTCCGGGGGTTTGGCACCCTATTTAAGGGATCATTAGCCTCCCTTAGACCCTTTGCAGCCTCTTGAGAGTCCAGAAACCCTAGTTCCAGTGAGTGTGTGCCCCATTGTGTGTTTTAAGCTTTGGTAGAGGATTCTTGGTGAGAAGAGCTTGGGGGAAACAAGTGGATTGAAGCAAGGAACTCGTGGGAATCAAGATCTACTTCAGTTGGCATCTTTTGGGAAGGTATTAAGCTGTTATATTAACCCCATTTCATTCTAGATCTCTTTGGATGAAGTTTAGGGCTTCTTGGCTTGGTTATGAAGCTATTCTTGGGTATGAGCTCAGATCTGAAGTTGTAACTTCAGATCTGAACTCTCTTTGAATTGTAAGTCCATAAAGCTATCAGCTTTGGCAAGTATGAACCCATCCTTAAGTGTAAAACCCCATTTCAAGCTTGGTTTTGGCATTTTGAGTCATTAGAGCCTTGCATGCACGTAAAGTTTGCAACTTTACGTGATAAGCATGCCTTGGGAACTTGGATCCGCAGTATGGAGCCTTGGCATGGCTTAAAAAGCATCTGTATGGATGAAGGACTGAAAGGACTCGGCGAGTAGCATGGTAGACTCGACGAGTCATATGAAGATGGTCTTGAACTCGACGAGTTGGATGAACAACTCGGCGACTCCGATGAAGATTGCCTTGGGCTCGGCGAGTGGCATGGTGACTCGGCGAGTTGGCAAGTTATGCAAGGAACTCGACGAGTAGCTGAGGGTACTCGACGAGTTGAGGTCAACATGGACTGTTGACCTTGATAGTTGGCTTTGACTTTGACCTAGGGTTGACCGTTTTGACTTTTGAGAATAATTGGTAAGCGGGTATTTATGAATTGGATCATTGATGGTTATAGGTGTTGGAGCTTGGGGCAGTATTTCGGGAGTGTGATCTCATGGTTCAGTCCGGCATTGCAAGGTGAGTTATCCTCACTGTACTCAACGGTCTAAGGCACCAAGGCCGGCTCTTTGTCTTGTTATTGGGATTATTCTGTTATGATATGTTAGTTCGGTATCCTGGTAGATATGATGGTTAAATGCTAGTATGATCTGTTAGATCGGTATCCTGGTAGATCGGATGTGGTTATGCTTAGAGACCTATAGTTGGTCTGACTGCCTGCGTGCTAGTTGTTATGCCAGTTAGGTAGATATGTAGGACTACCTGTAGTATCATATGATTATCTGTATGTGCATTATTTGCGTTATATGTCGACATATTATGTGGGATGGGTTGAGGAGAAACTGCTCCGTGCGGTAACCAACAAACCCGAGAGCATTCCAGATACGAGCTGAGGAAGACTCGTACTGTGGGCTCGGTGGCAATCAAGATGTGAGCTGTGGGCTCGGAAGGCAATCCAGACTCACACTGTGGGCCCAGGGGTAATCCAGAATGTAAAGTTGTGGACCCAGTACATGCTGTTAATTGTATATTGTTATGTGAAGTGTTTCGGTATGTTGGCATTCCAACCCAATGGTTGAGGGCCTTGGGTATTCCATCCCGATGGATGATTGGACCCATAGTATGCTGTTGTTATTGTATGTGTATTGTTGTGTGTATGGGTATTTTTGGGGTAACTCACTAAGCTTTCAGGCTTACAGTTTCAGTTTATTGTTTCAGGTTCAGCGGAGGGCCGCGGGTAGGCGAAGGCGTGACCGTACACTTCCTCGATTGGCGATTATGATTTCTGGGAACTCTGATGTATAACTATTTTGAAAACAAATTGTAATAATTGAATGGTTTCAAATGGTTTAAAAAGTTTTAATTGGCTCGAATTTTATGGGTGTTACAATATATATATATATATATATATATATATATATATATATATATATATATATATATAAAATAGACATGTGTATAATATTTTCAAACTTTAGTGAACAAATCATAAATCTCGATTCTCGATTCTTGTGCCATCAATCCTGTTTCCATAATAATTTTATGAAATTGCTTGTTGATTGTCCTGGTCGTTGTGATTTCAAAAAGGCAGTTTGATTTAAATTCTGATATACCAAACTCCGTGAATTAACGTTTAAAGTTTTGCGATTAATTGGGTCGGATTCGACAGATTTTATAAATCTGATTTTGGTTGAGATTAAAAATATTATAAATATATAATAAAATAATATACCATAATCTGCATTCAAAAACATGATACAAAATAGTTTACGAGATTCGTAGCCATTCCAAATGAAGCAATGCACAGTTCGTTTCAGGAAAAATAAGATAAATACTGATTTTTATAACTTTAAAGAGACGTAACTTTCTCATATGATATCCGTTTTGTACGTTCTTTATATCCACGAAATCAGGAGAACATAATTTATTCAAATTTCTTATCCATAACTCTCAAATAAACTTAATGCAAAATTTTATTTTAACGTCACAAATAAATTTAATTTTTGGTGATATTCGATTCGATCTTCAACGATAGATGGTTTGAGCAGTTTGAGATGTTCTAAAAGTAATTATACATAATATATCTTTAATATACATTATGAAAATAAAATTACATACAATTGGTCATTAACACATAGCGGTTCGTGGTGGTTTGACCGCCGAACTCTGACCAATTTTTACCAGTTGTAACACTCACGATTGAGCTCGTAAGGCTATAAAAACATAGAAGGAAGCCTCTACCGCTGAGTACAACCCCAAACCACCAAGCCTTATTGGTAATGAAGCAGGTCGCCATTGAATGTCCCTAAAGAAAGGACCCCCACAAACCACAATGTCTTTAATTGGCCTACATAACCCTTTATCAAAACACAAGGCTGCCTCCTCCATATGAATGAGTTGGCAAGTCCTCAGGCCAAAAAAAGTTTGATGATGCCCATGCAAGATGGAAGCAAAAGGAGCTCACTCTGGGGGTCATGTGGCTGTGGAAGAAGGCGCATCAAATCAACAGCCTTGACAACCCTCTTCTTGGCTAACCCGCTAATAAAACTCGCATGTCTACTAACGGCTCCCCCCAAGAAGCTTCACCCCCAATAACGGACGTCAAATGTAGCCCTGTCGAAAATACCCGATACTCGAATTACCCGCCCAATTTTTTCGGGTAACGGGTAAATCGGGTATCGGGTAAAATTTTTCGGGTAATTGGGTAACCCGATTTTTTTTCAGGTCAGGTATAGGGTACGTTTGTTGGGTTTCGGGTATACTCGAATTACCCGAATTACCCAAATTATTTTAAAAAATCTTTTTTTTTTCGTAGAGCTTGTACTGGTTTTTATTGCAACTAACAAACTCATTATCTTGACGAAACTTCAGAACATGGAAAAACTTATGGCTATAATTATCTTAAACATTTTAAACTTTTAAATTAAGATCTTTAAGTATTTGCTTTTTAACATCTTATTAGATTAGATTAAGCTGTTAAAAGTTTACTTGAGATCTCAAGTATTATTGACTAAAAAATCTCAATGTTCAAAGTTTGAGTAACTTCGTTTATGCCTCGTTTGTTTATATAAACAAGACTAATAGAGCACGACATATTTATTTCATTAAATTTATTTTCAGGTGTCATTCAAAAAAAAATTATATATTTCGGGTAATACCCGAATTACCCAAACCCGAATTACCCGAATTTAATTTGGGTCCGGTAACGGGTATTTTTTTTAACATGAAAAACCCGAATTACCCGAAACCCGAAAAAATACCCGATCAACACCCCTAGTCAAATGTCAGCAGATAATAAATCCACACGAAGCTTCCTACCATCACATGAAGGCCAAAATAGCTCAGTTTTCTTGATATTCAGTTCAAGACCCAATCACGGGTTGCCACCCTAATGATGTCCAATACTCTAACCACCTCACCTCCTTTGAATCTCCAATGACGGTCCCATCATCAAGATACCAAACATGAAGAAGATGCTTGCAATTGTCTGTAATCCGATGTACAAAATTAAATATGTAACATTCGCAAATAAAATTAGAATTTTTTTATAAAATCTAATAATTGTATAAGTTTGAAAAATTACAACATCAAACGCAATTCATATGTTCGAATAAATATAAATATACCTTTAAATATATTGATGGATTGAAATCATGTTAAAAATCAACCATTACTCAACCCGTTTCAAGTAAACCAGTTGAAAACTTCAAATAAACCTACTAATTTGTAATTGTCAGGTTGGTTGGTGTTAAATCGTTTTTTTGTCATATGTGGACGGAGAAAATGTTAATTTATTTCGATAAATAGGGTTATTTTGTATTTTGTCTTCTAAGTTATGTGGATGTAAATCTGTAATCGTTTTGGAGAAAGGCGGGAACAAAACTGGTTTGGTGGGACTGTGCGCCTAAAGATTGCATATTAGGTGTTTGAAACCAACAAGACTGTAACCAACAAATCCGATTTTACAACTCCTTCCTTCCTTTCACACACATTACAACTACTGTGTGTGAGAGATAGATAATTCATAATTCAATGGAGAGCAACGCAGAGTCGCCGCTTCTTACCTCAAAAGATGGCCAACAGAACGCTCACTTCACCGGAGACGTCGAAGATATTCCTCCGATCAACGGAATCAACGATTTCTTTGTCCAATTTGGCGTCGAATCAAAGAAGCTCTGGTACCTTGCTGGCCCTGCAATTTTCACCACCGTCTGTCAATACTCACTCGGTGCAGTTACACAAACCTTCGCCGGTCATGTAGGAATACTCGATCTCGCAGCTGTCTCAATCGAGAACTCAGTTATTGCAGGTTTCTCTTTGGGAATGATGGTTAGTTTTGTCAAGTTTTTTCCTCACCGAATTGGTTTCAGATATCGTTTCTGAAATCAAATTAACTATTTGAAATCGAAATTTCCCCCAATTAACTGAAACTCGATCTGTTAAATCAACAGATTGGAATGGGGAGCGCATTGGAGACTTTGTGCGGGCAAGCATTTGGAGCAGGTCAGGTGGATATGTTAGGAATATATATGCAGAGATCGTGGGTTATCCTCTTCGTAACTGGTCTCATTATGATGTTCCTCTACATCTTTGCAACTCCTTTGCTCCTATTGATCGGACAAACAGAAGATATATCTCACGCAGCAGGGAAGATGGCGCTATGGATGATTCTACAGCTATTTGCGTACGCCTTCAACTACCCAATCGCTAAGTTTCTTCAAGCTCAGAGTAAGATAATGGTGATGGCTTACATATCTGCGGTGGCGTTGGTGCTACATACGTTTTTTAGCTGGTTGTTGATGTTGAAGTTGGGATGGGGGTTATGGGGAGGAGCTATAGTGCTCAACCTTTCATGGTGGTTCATGGTGATTGCTCAGATGATATATATTTTCAGTGGGAATTGTGGTCGAGCATGGTTAGGGTTCAGTTGGGGCGCTTTTAGTAATTTATGGGCCTTCGTTAAACTTTCCTTTGCATCAGCTATCATGCTTTCGTAAGTATATTACCCCAATTACTCCTTTCTCGTTTCCAACAAAAAAACAAACAATGAAAACGTAACAAACTTCTACCTAACTTTAGAATACCATGTTTATTTATTTATTTATTTTTAAAAATATATGGTGTAGCTTGGAAACATGGTATTTTATGGCGTTGGTGCTTTTTGCTGGATACGAAGAATGCCGAAATTGCTGTGGATGCACTCTCCATATGGTTACTAATTTAGTATTATTTTTCATTATAATGTCATTCTTTTATTAATCGTAATTACTATAAATTAATCGTAATTAACTTTTTAATCTGTCATAAAACCACCACAAATTCTTAAACTTCCATTAAGTTTAGGCGTGATCGATAAACTAGCTATAAACTAGTAGATAATAGGTACTAGATAGTAGTAGCTAGTTAGGTAGTATTTAGGATGTTTGGCAAAAATATCTTTTTAAAACATGTAAAATTACATAAAAGAAATTATCTAAAACATGTTATTGATTTAAAAAAAAGTTTTTAAACGTTATTCGAACAAAATTTTATTTTACAAGTTTTTTCTTAAAAGTTATAAGCTTCCAAAAACTGCGTGCCAAACACGTGTTAAATATTTCTACATAGAACTCTAAAAAAAGTTTAAATGTATTTTTTTTTTCAAATTCTGTTTTATAAATTTGAAATTTCTCCTTATAGAATTCTAAAAAACTTTAAAAGCTTTAAAAAAATATTTCCCGAACACGTCCTAGAAATTTCTCCATATAGAACTCTAAAAGATTTAAATGTATATTCTTTTCAAATTCTAGTTTACAAATTCAAAAATTGTTCTTGAAATTTCAAAACTATTCTTATAAAGTGAGAAGTTGTTAATATAGTTTTCAAGTAAATTTCATTAAGTTTTTATTTATTTATTTATTGTTGCGGTTGTGGGGAAGCACTTTCACAATTTGACCGTGATTTTCATGATCATTTTTGTGATTGGGAAAATGATCATTTTGTTAAATGTCCCATTACAAAGTTGGATAAATGTAAATCATTTTTATAAATTTTCATAAATGTCTATCATGAATTCATGTATAATTTATGATAGAGTGTATTCTCCCATATCAGCCGTATAAATACTTGTACAATGATGTATCAAGGGCCATGTAAACAAATTAATACACGATGGTTCTAATCTTTAAACCAAATTTTGCAGCACAAACGTTGTTGGTTGGGCAGTTATGGTAGCACTTGGATTCAATGCAGCTATCAGGTTAATTGATAACCATTTTCCCTTAAAAAAACATCATTTTAATCAAAACCAAATAACTAATTAAATTCACATAATACTAAATCTATAAAGAAATATGCACCAGAGAATTGTTTGTATAAAATTGTATATGAATACAAGGGATACATGGGTACATATACAGTGAAAGTACAACTGAAACCTACATATATGGAAACACTACCCAGTAAACTTGACTAGACCAGGTTTACAATTGAATACATGAATGCACATGTGTTAATTGATTTTTGACTGTTATTACCCCCGACAAGCTCATGTGCGGGACGAACTTGGAGCTTGTTACATAACGAGCGGAACCTGTCTTTGTGTAGAGGTTTGGTAAATATATCTGCATGTTGGTCAACTGATGAGACATGAATGATGTGGAGTTTTTTTGCTTCAACCTGTTCTTTGACAAAATGAAAAGTAACATGCTTGGATCTGGTGCGAATAACTGGATTTTGAGTCATGAAGATGGTGCCAACATTGTCACAGAGAAGAAGAGGAACACAGGTGATTGGAGCATGAAGTTCAAAGAGTAGTTGCTTAAGCCAGATTAATTCAGCAGCTGTGTATGCCAATGCTCTGTATTCGGCCTCAGTACTTGAGCGAGCAACTACCTTTTGTTTTCGGGATGTCCAACTTATGAGATTCTGACCATGATATATGGCAATGCCATATTGTGATCTACTATCATCAGCATCAGATAAGCATCCAACATCCGAAAAAGCTAGAAGTGAAGTCTTGGTAGTTGGAGAAAAGTGTAAACAGTGAGTGATAGTGCCTTGTAGGTAACGTAAGATCCTTTTTACGGCTTGCCAATGAAGAGTAGTAGGGGCATGCATATATTGACAAACCCGATTGACCGCAAAAGTGATATCTGGGCGAGTAATGGTGACATATTGCAGAGAGCCAACAACCTGTCTATAAAGTTTCGGATCTGCAAATGGGTCACCATAACGAGTAAGCGTAGAGTTTGGATTAGCGGGATTGGAGATGGGAGTGGCTGATGACATGTGACTCCGATCAAGAATGTCACGAAGATATCCTTCTTGACTAAGTGTAAGACCAGATGTAGAACGGGTGATTGCAATTCCCAAAAAATAATGAAGATCTCCCAAATCTTTAAGTGCAAATGTAGAATTTAGTTGCTGAATGAATTGTTGTACGCGATGCACATCTGTTCATGTGATGATTAGGTCATCAACATACACAAGTATGTACATAACACCCACTTTTGATTTGTGCACAAAGAGTGACGTGTCTGAATGGCAAGCGCGAAATCCATGACCGGTTAGATATGACTTGAGTTTGGTAAACCAGGCTCGTGGCGCTTGTTTTAGGCCATAGAGAACTTTAGTGAGTTGACAGACATGTGTTGGTTTTGTATGATCTTCAAAGCCTCTTGGTTGTCGCATGTAGACAGCTTCATGTGGATCACTATTGAGAAACGCATTATTGATATCCAGTTGACGAATACACCAGCCCTTAGAAATAGCAAGAGATAAGACCAAACGAATGGTTGTAGGCTTGATAACCGGACTGAAGGTATCAAAGTAATCAACACCCTCTTCCTGACTAAACCCTTGAGCAACGAGGCGGGCTTTATATCTTTCAATTGTGCCATGCGAGTGTTTCTTTATCCTGAAAAGCCATTTTCAATCTACAAGATTGACATTAGGAGGACAGGGGACAAGGGACCATGTCTTATTTCTCATAAGTGCATCATATTCAATTTGCATAGCATCTTGCCAACATTTGTGTTTTATGGCTTGACTAAAGTTACGAGGTTCGCGAGTCAAGGTGGTGGTGACAGATGTGAAAGCCTTAGGTTTTAACGAATTTGTTTGAGCTCTTGTAACCATGTGATGTTGATTGTTCTCGACCTGTCGAAAGTGGGAAGGGACAGAAGGAGATTGACGAGCAGGAGAGCTTATAGTAGACTGCCGATACCTAGGGCTTATAGAGGGGGACGGTGGAACCGTAGATGGAGGAGGAGAATTAGGGGAAGGAATAGCTGGAGATGTATTTGTAGGAGTTGGGTCATCGGGTATGGGTAGAATTTGGGCTACAAGAATTGGGCCAATATCGACAGAAGTGGACCGCACAGAAGATACATTAGAAAATGGTGGCTCGGAAGGCTTGGAATAAGGAAATATGTCTTCATTGAAGATCACATGCCTGCCAATGTATAGTCTTTTGGATGAGGGATGATAGCACATATAGCCTTTATGAGTAGGGTTTTAGCCAATGAAAACACAAGAAAGTGAACGAAAATCGATTTTATGTTGATTATAGGGACGTAAAAATGGATAGCATAAACACCCAAAAGTTTTAAGAGATGTATAATTAGGAATTTTAGAATAAAGTTTTTAATATGTTGACAAGTAATTTAGAACAGGTGTAATGGTCCGATTGTGAAGGTATGTTGCAGTTTTAAATGCATGTTCCCAATATTCATGAGGAAGAGGTGATTGGGCTAAAAGAGTAAGACCTTTTTCAATGATAATGCGATTTCGGCGTTCAACCGCACCATTTTGCTCATGTGTGTGCGGGCATGAGACACGATGGATAATTCCATGAGTGTTCAAGAAATTGGAAACATTTCGATATTCACTGCCCCAATCGGTTTGTAAGCTTTTGATGGTACAGTTGAATTGCGTTTGAATGATAGTTCGAAATTGAATAAAGGTGTCAAACACTTGAGATTTATGGGACAAAAAATATATCCACACGAATTTGGTACAATCATCGACAAATAAAACAAAATATCGGTTTCCATTTATTGAAAAATGTGGGGATGGTCCCCAAACATCTGAATACATTAATTCAAAAGGTTGCAAAGCAGAAACATGCTTGTGAGTAAAGGGAAGTCGATGACTTTTTCCTAACTGACATGGTTCACAAACATTTGGAAAGTTTTGAGAAGAAATGGGAAGTTTATAAAGAGACAGAAGTCTTCTAAGTAAAGGAGCATGAAGGTGAGCCAACCTTTTGTGCCATCCATGTAGAGTGGTGCGAACTCCAGAAAGGGCCATGGAGCATTTGGCTTTATTAGGGAAGTGAGGGAGGCGATACAAGCCTTGATCAATGTCCTCTTGAAGGAGTGTGTGTCCCTGCAAAGACTTTACAGTACAATGAGAAGGCCATAACTAAATATATACATTATTGTCCGATGTTATTCTTGAGACACTAATGAGATTTTTAGTAAGACGAGGGACCACAAGAACAGATGGCAAGTTTAGTTTATGAAAATATGATGAACCTAGATGAGAAATAGGAAGGTCATTACCATTTCCAACTTGTAGTTTTTCGGTCCCATTGTATAGCTCAGTGATTTGAAGCTTCTGAAGGTCAGGTGTAACATGATCTGTTGCACCTGTGTCAAAGTACCAAGAGCAACTGATGATGGACTGTGATTTTGAACTAAGTTTGCTTGATGAGAATTGGACCGAGGATTGGGCCTTCTGGAAGGGTAATCTGTTTGGTTGGTGCGTTGCCAACAGTCAATTGCTTCGTGTCCATGTTTATTGCATAACTGGCACTGAGGACGTGAGCGTTTGTGATTGTCATAAGATCGATTTCCAGAGGCTGATGAAGAGGAGAAATTAGAGCTGGAGGTGGACCTCTATGAACGATTGACATTGAGTGCAAGCGAATTTGTGACAGCAGGTGGCGGTGCTGGGTTTTAGGCAGCCTGACGAGTGATTTCCTGTTCCAAACGGGACTCCTCTTGAAACAGCATACCCACCGGTTCATCAATAGAGTCATGATCGTTATGAATCATGTAAGCAGTAATAAATGGACCATAGGAGGAGTCAAGATCCGTTAGGATGTATCCAATCAGGTCTTCATTTGAGATTGGGTATGAATTCTCAGCAAGAGAGTCGGCTATGGCCCATTTGCGCTCGACATACTCGAGCATAGAAGAAGAGCCCTTGGAAATTGACTGCAGTTCGGCCTTCATAGTCATGCGACGAGCCCGAGTTTGGGCCTGAAATGTCTTGTCAATGGCTGACCAGACTTGTTGAGAGGAAGAGCACCTAGCGACGATCGCAAGAGCCCTCTCCGAGAGGGTAGACTTGATCCAGAGAAGTACAAAACTATCACGCTTCTTCCATAGAGAATACTCAGGATTGAGATTGGAGGTGGTAACCCCTTCAGCGTTGGTGGTAGAGATAGTTGCAGCAGGTGGAGTGGGAGAGAGGACAAAGTCAGCTAGGTCGAAGGTGGTTAGGGCAGAGAGAATTGTGGAACGCCATAGTGAGTAATTTTCCCGTTCGAGCTTGATACTGATCGAAGGGATCTGGAAATTGAAGGGTGCTGAGTTGGTAGTGAGGCTAAGAAGAAGAGAGTTGTTAGCCATGGAGGTTGATTTGAGATATTTATGGGTGCTCTGATACCATATAAAGCAGAAATGCACCAGAGAATTGTTTATATAAAATTCTATATGAATACAAAGGATACATGGGTATATATATATAGTGAAAGTACAACTGAAACCTACATATATGGAAACACTACTCAGTAAACTTGACTAGACCAGGTCTATAATTGAATACATGAATGCACATGTGTTAATTGATTTTTGACCGTTATTAAAATCCATTTTTTTTTTTAATTTTTTATTTTGCAGTGTAAGGGTGTCGAATGAGTTAGGTGCGGCCCATCCAAGAGCTGCAACGTTATCAGTTGTGGTGGTTGTTTTTTCTGCTTTTTTCATCGGAGTTTTGTTGGCCATGATTCTGGCCATTTTCCAGCATCAATATCCAGCCTTATTTTCTGATAATTTAAAAGTTCAACAAGCTGTTTATGCTCTTACTCCATTACTAGGGGCTTGCCTTATCATTAACAATATTCAACCCGCACTTTCCGGTATGTGATTTTTGTTTCACATAATTTTAATTTTGCAAGTTTAATTACATCATTAAAACTTTCATAATCGTTAAATCAGACCATAATCTTGATGAAGATGATAGTGAGTTTTATGGGTAGATTAGAGCTATTCACGGATGGAGTTGGAGTTGGAGATTCCATTTCATTGCGTATTTGGTTGACAATTCTACAAAATCTAATTCCGTTGGTGAAGGAATCGGATGGAATTTGAATTAGGGATTTCATTCCATAGCATGTTTGGTAGCGGGATGGATAGAATTCAATTCCACAGAATCCTTCAAGACGTGTTTGTGTCGTGGAATAGAAATTTAAAATTCCATTCAATAGCTTCTTTAACTGCCAAATGGATTTAATTAATTTTTGTCAGAATCCTACAAATTCCATTTCTTCCCTTGTTTGTTAAAAACTAAAATAACCCCATATTATTGACTGATTGATTGAAATATATGTATATTTAAAAACGTAGGGGTAGCAATCGGGGCAGGATGGCAAGCAGTAATCGCTTATATAAATATTGCATGCTACTACATATTCGGCGTACCTTTGGGGCTCTCTCTGGGATTTGTTGCCAATTGGGGTGTAAAGGTTGATACACTATTACTCATCTTTGTAGCAGTACATCATGCATTCATGCAAAAACATGAAATTTATGACTCAAAAATCAAAATTGATATGTACGCTAATTTTGCGGAAATTGCAGGGTATATGGGTAGGCATGTTGACTGGAACCGTGGTACAGACTTTGATTTTAATTTGGATTTGCTACAGAACCAACTGGGAAAAGGAGGTACTTTTCAGTTTTCACCTTGTATATTTTTTCTCATTCAATAAATTTTCAATCATCTAATTAGTATTATATATATATATATATATATATATATATATATATATATATATATATATATATATATATATATATATATATATATTGAAACAACAAACTAATCCTATTCTTAAATACCATCTATGTCTCTTAGTGAGATTTGAACCATGATGACTCTTTACCATTAGGCCAAAAGCCTTTTGCTTATTGTATATTATGTATGTTGTGAGAATCAAACTTATCCGAATCATGCACGTATGGATATTGTAGGCATTTTTGGCTGAAAGGAGAATAAAAAAATGGTCGGGTCAAAAAGAGGTGGAGGGAGAGCAATAAAGTTCTTTTGTTTGATGTTAGTTTGGATTTGAATATTGTGCAATTCCTCATTTTCTTCAAATCATTTCACCAAAATAGAATCAAACTTGATGACGGTTTTCATAAATCTTTTGTAATATCGTGTTTGGTTGGTGACGGATGTTTAGGATGTTATTAGGAATTTAATAAATACTTAACAAACACGATTCATGTGATGTAGATTTATACAAAATATGTCCATTTTTGGTTTTTGTCAAAGCTTGATGAATTACTAAGATCTGTTTGATATAATGGAAATTATATTTGATTGTCATGTTTGTTTGGTTTGAATTGAAAGAATCATTTCATATATGTTTTTTGTTATGTATAAATAAAACACTAAATAAAATTAGTTTGATAAACAGAAAATAAAAATATTATTTTATGAAATTAAAATTTAATTATTTTAAAGTGTATTGTTAAAGAAATTACATATAAAGATAGTTCATTATTTTACTAGAAAACAGACTTTAGCGACCGAAAGTACCATCGATCTATAACCCCTCTCTAATTTTTGTTGTTGAAAAGAAGCAGCACATTTAGCATCAAAACGTTTCACAGTCATCAACAAATTACTATACAATTACAACAAATTATTCATCGTTAACTTATTTTGAAATGGCCAAATTTTTACCGATTAATAACTGTTTTAGGAACAAAATTTCCATTGATATTAGAGACACTTTGCCGTTTACAGGTATTTTCAATTGGTGTTTTGATTTGTTAGAAGATTAGAAATATTATAATTTTATATGCATTAATATTTTTCTCTACAACGTATTTCACACAAAGTTATCTTTTATTACAACCATATAAAGAAGTATATCAACCAAACTAACACTTTGATTGTATTTTAAAAGAAGTCGAGATGGAAGAATGCAATGCCACTCAATGTCCAATGGAACCGAGACTAAAATTATCGAAAGCCGAGAATAAACCAGAAGTTGAAGCCACTAATTACAGAAGGATAGATGGATGCTTACGCTACCTCCTTCACACTCGTCCGGACTTATCTTACTCAGTCGGTGTAGTAAGTCGTTATATGCAAAGTCCGAGAGAATCTCATGCGCGTGCGATCAAGCAAATTCTTTGTTAGTTGGATGCTTACGCTACCTCCTTCACACTCGTCCGGACTTATCTTACTCAGTCGGTGTAGTAAGTCGTTATATGCAAAGTCCGAGAGAATCTCATGCGCGTGCGATCAAGCAAATTCTTTGTTACCTTCGCAGTACAATTTCACTTGGAATTAAATATGAAAAGTGTGACGAGTTTAAACTTTTGGGTTATAGTGATAGTAGTCATAATGTAGACAGTGATAGTAGTCATAATGTAGACATGGATGATGGTCGGAGTACTACGGGTCACATTTTCTTTCTTGGTAAATCCCTTATTACGTGGTGCTCGCAAAAGCAAGAAACCGTTGCTTTATCTTCATGTGAAGCCGAGTTCATGGCAGCTACTTCAGCAGCATGCCAAGCAATTTGGCTAAGGCAGTTGCTCGCGGAGGTGACCGGATTAGATAAGCAAAAGGTGTTGATTTGTATAGACAACAAGTCGGCGATCGTGTTGTCTAAAAATCCGGTGTCTCACGGGAGGAGCAAACACATTCACACTCGTTTCCACTTCATTCGAGAGCATGTGGAAAACGAGCAAGTTAAAGTCGAACACGTGGCGGGAAAAGAACAAGTAGCGGATCCCCTAACAAAAGCCTTATCGCGAGTAAGGTTCGGTGAAATGAGATCGTTACTCGGTGTGTGCGAGTTGCCGTCTCAACCATTCAGGGGGTGATTGTTGGACGAATGGGTTGAGACCATAGGCTTAATGTCGCGGGTCGACCCATCGGTGTTTTGGAGTGTTGTCCAAGATACGTGTTATATGGAAGGTTTCCTAATTCATTGTTTAGGAGTTGTAATCCAATATGAATTCTAGATCTATATATGTATGTGTTGATCATGTATAAAGAAGTGTATTGAATCCTTTTTATAAACCGCTGTTTCTTGCAAACATCGTTTAAAACCCATTCCTCGTAAGATGCCATCAAGTTTAATGTTCCACGCCCTTGGTGCTTGTCTTAGGCCATATAAAGCTTTTGCTAACTTGTAAACTTTTTCTTCTTCTCCTTTTTTCTCAAAACATTCGGGTTGTCGTACGTACACTTCTTCTTTTAATTCACCGTGCAAGAAGGCCGTCTTCACATCTAAGTGATAAATCTTCCATACTTTCCCAGCCGCATGAGCAATCAATAAACGTATTGTCTCGAGTCGAGCTACCGGCGCGAAAACTTCATCAAAATCAATGTCGTGTTCTTGTACATAGCCTTTTTCTACGAGTCACACTTTGTACCTAGAAATAGATCCGTCCGTGCTTTTTTTTGATTTTATATACCCACTTTAATCCGATGGGTTTGACATTCTTGGGAAGAGACACTAGCTTCCAAGTTTTATTCCTTTCAATTGACTCGATCTCATCTTTCATTGCCTTAAGCCATTCAGGTTTCACAATGGCTTCTTTAAAAGTACTTGGTTCCTCGTCAAACGATAACATTAATTCGTTCATGTTAAGCTCATAATCATTGAGGTGAAATGGCAAAACGGAAACACGATTAGAACGACGTACCGGGTTATTTTCAAACTCGTTATTGCCGTCGGACTCGTGATCGTTGTTGGCCGTATCAGGTTCGGTCGAGATTGGGTTGTCTGCTGGGCTCGGCGCTGCTGGTGGGCTGTTATTTAAATGTTGCGGAGATGGGGTAGCATCGGTATTAGGCTGGTGAGGCCCATTATGCGGCTGATTTATCCAAGTGGCCCAAGCAATTTTGAAAGTGCCAGAATCATTTTCTTTTTTCGTTGCTACTGTTCTCGTGCCTTTTTCCATTGCCATGACAACTTTTCATCATATGTTACATTATTGCTTATAATAATTTTTTTTTCATATGGATTAAATAAACGAGCACCTCCCGAACCCGGTTCCTTCCCAAAATAAACCATTGGTCTCGATCTATCGTCAAGTTTCTTTATATGTTTCGAAACAACTCTTTCATACGCAACGCATCCGAACACCTTTAGATCTTCAAGATTTGGTTTTTGACCATAGAGTTTTTCGTAAGGCGTGACTCCTACTAACGTTCGCGTAAGGGTACGATTTATAATATAAGTTGCATGTCGAACAGCTTCACCCCAAAACTGATTTGGAACTTCTTTTGCTTTCATAAGACATCGCGTCATCTCGATTAGTGTCCGGTTTCGTCGTTCTACTATGCCGTTTTGTTGGGGTGAGTACGGAGTCGTTAACATTCTTGCAACACCTTCTTCACTCCAAAAACGATTAAAATCGTTTGAAGTAAACTCTCCCCCTCCATCCGTGTGGAACGTCTTTATAGCCTTCCCGGTCCTATTTTCAATGGACTTTTTGAATTTTTTAATTACATCCGCCGCGTCGTTTTTGTGTTTCAACAAAAAAGACCACATGTATCTAGAAAAATCGTCAATTAGAACCAAAATATAAATGTTACCGCCCATCGTGGGAGGATCAATAGGACTGCAAATATCTCCATGTAGCATCTCGAGAATATTTTTAGACTTATAATTGGTTTTCCTCGGGAATGTGTGTTTGTTTTGTTTGCCTATCATGCAAATTTCACAAACTTCTTCTTGATGTTTCAAAACTGGAACTCTACTAGTCAACTTGTGCATCATATTCACCGCACCAAAGTTGATATGGCCTAGCCGTGCATGTCATAATCAAGACTCGTCATCAATCTTTGCTTGCAAACATTAGAGTTTTCCAACTTTAAGTTGTGTTTTATAAAGACGATTTTCACTACGTGGAACCTTCATTAGAAACCTTCCATTTCGATCTTTCATTGTCAAGTAATCACCATGCATTTTAATTTCACTACCGGATAGTTTCGTTTGGCCAAGACTAATGACATTGCTACGAAGAGAGGGAATATAGTAGATATCTTTCATAACCTTTTGCTCACCGTTTTTACCTTCGAACAAAATTGATCCTTTTCCTTCAATTCAAACACACGAGCCATCTCCAAATCTTACTCTTCCGGTTATTCGTTCATTCATCTCCGAAAAATATGAGTACTTCCCGGTCATGTGATTACTTGCCCCATTGTCGAGGTACCACATATCATCGTCTTCTTGATTCGCCTCTACTGTGGGTGGAATGTATTTGTCTTCATTTAGGAATATTGTCTTCTCTTGCATCATAAAAAAATGTTCCTTCTTCGTGATCGACCTCCTCTCGGGCATCGTTGAGATTTGCTTCATGTTTCCTGTTACGTTCGGGGCATCACGAAACAAAGTATCCGAACTTATCACACCGGTAACACTGAATATTTGATCGGTCTATTTGTTCATGATTTTGCCTTTTTGTCTTTGATCATCACGATTCTTTGATGAGTCCCTTTGATCGTGGTTTTGGGTGTTATCTTGACCACGACCACGTCCTCGGCCTCGTCCCCCACGGTATGCACCACACCCTCTCCCACAGCTTGATTCTTGGTTTCGATTTGAGTTTTCGGTCTTGGCATAAAGTAGCTTTTCATCGGAATCGGATGCTTTGCCGGTTTCTTTAGTCCATTCCTTATAAGGTTTCAGCTGCCCAACTACATCTTCAAAAGTAATGGTTTTTAAATCCAAAACTTGCTCGAGTGCTGCTACGATGTGAATGAATCGACTAGGAAGACTCGTAAGAAATTTCTTCACCAACTTCTCTTGAGAGATTGTTCCTCCAAGTGTCGCTGAAACGGTAGCAAGGCTCGATAGTTTTGAAGAGAAATCATCAATAGTGCTCGTATCTTTCATCTTCAAACTTTCGAATTCCGAAGTCAATGTTTGAAAACGTGCTTCCTTCACTCGATCCGCACCCATGTTCCGAGATTCGATTGCTTCCCACATCTCCTTAGCAGTGGCGAGATTCCCGATTTACAAGATTAAATCTTCCGGTATTGACTGAAACAATAATCCCATCACGATATTGTTTCTCTTTGCATCCGTTGAACCCGGATCAACCACGTCCCACACGCCGTGAATACCGAGTAAAACTTTCATACACATGTTCCATATCGTGTAGTTTAATGACGTCAACTGCGAAAATTGAAACGAGATCGAGTGTGTCTCCTTCGCGGGAAGATTTGCTCCGTCTCCTGACATGGACAGTCAACAGGAAACCACACACCTTTATCTTCAATAGGTGAACAATAAAATATTGATTCCAATTAAGAAATTGGAAACGGCGACCAATAGGACCATAATCGCTGCTTGCTTTCTCTTTAATTGGACCATAAGAAAACAATTGTTTTCTTCAAAACGTGTTCTTGATCCAGGAGCCAATTAATAAATAATTGGGGTAAGAGGAAAAGCAACAATTTTGCATACGAAGAAAATGTAACGACCAAAAATTTCAACCAATTTAAAACATTTTATTTCATTCAAAAACCATTAAGTTCATACATCTTGTTTTCAAAATAGTTTAAACATCAGAGTATCCCCCAGAACCATATCACATAAATCATAAAACATGAGGAGCGGTACGATCACGCCTTCGCCTTGCCACGATCTCCTGAAGCACCTGAAACAATAAACCACAACTGTAAGCCCGAAAGCTTAGTGAGTTCCCCCAAAGCACCCATACACACATAAACATACGCATACAGCAAAGAACAACATACTATGGGTCCAATCAACCTTCCAGTTGGAATACCCCTGGCCCTCAACCATCGGGTTGGAATGCCTACATACTACGAGCCCAATCATCCTACCGGGATGGAATACTCTCGGCCCACAACCATCGGGTTGGAATGCCCATACACCTATACGTACAACAATAACTACTATGGGTCCAATCATCTCGCAAGATGGAATACCCCAGGCCCCTCAACCATCGGGTTGGAATGCCAACATACTATGAGTCCAATCATCCTACCGGGATGGAATACTCCTGGCCCACAACCATCGGGTTAGAATGCCCCACTTCCTATACATCCAGTAACTATTATTACTATGGGTACAATCATCCCTCAGGATGGAATACCCCAGGCCCCTCAACCATCGGGTTGGAATGCCAACCTACTATGAGTCCAATCATCCTACCGGGATGGAATACTCCTGGCCCATAACCATCGGGTTGGAATGCCAACCTACACTCGCAAACATGCACACATAACAGGCAACCACATAATACTTACAGAACCAAGATACTAGGGCCCTATCATCCTACCGGGATGGAATACCCTCTGCTACTGCTCAACATACACAGCCCGCAGGTAACCTCCTACCAGCGTACATAAGGCAAGACCAACTACATGTCTATAAATAACCACTACCCAACTACCAGGGCGTTGATCCAACAGAACTAGCCATCACTTAACTATCCATTCCTCTAGGATACTAAGCTAACAAGGCATATCCACATATCATTATCCTATCTACCAGGATACTAGCAAGCATATCATCACATAACATAACAAACTCTAAACAACAATTCAAAGGGCCGGCCTTGGTGCCTTAGACCCTTGAGTACAGTGAGGATAACTCACTTGAAATGAAGAATTGAACCACGGAAGCGCACACCCGAAGCACTGCTCCAAACTCCCACACCTATTGCCATCAAAGGACCATTGACATAAATAACCAATTACCATAACACCCTTGAAGGTCAAAGTCAAAGTCCAGGCCAAAGTCAAACTTCCTGACTGACCCTACTCGCCGAGTCAACCCGTTGACTCGTCGAGTCCTTATACTCTGAAACTCTTAGAACACGACTCAACTCGCCGAGTCGCCCCAAGACTCGTCGAGTCCAACGATCTCCGAGTCCCATCCTGTCCAACTCACTGAGTCACTCCTCGACTCACTGATCTTCGTCTTAACCAGAAGAGGTTAGGGGTTCTGCGACCTGACTCGCCGAGTCCAAGAACAGACTCGCCGAGTCCAAGGCAATCTTCAACAGACTAGCCGAGTTGTTCTTCAACTCGCCGAGTCCATGCACATGTTCATACAACTCGTCGAGTACACCCATGTGACTTGCCGAGTCTCTCCAGTTCTCAATCCATGCAGAGGCTTTTCGAGCCATGCAGGGGCTCCAATCCATAGATCCACTCTTCTACAGCCTAACCCTCACATAAAGTTGCAAACTTTACGTGAAACCAAGGAGATATAAGCCCAAAACACTCTAGGGCTAGGGTTCATGACAAAGGGGCTTTACCAACAACTCTTAGACTGAAGCTTTATGACATTTTGGACCATCACAAGCCTAGATCTGAAGTAGCAACCTCAGATCTAAGCCTCTAACTCAAAATAGCTCTCAATCATACCAAAAATGCCCCAATTCTCAAATGATAATAGATCTAGATGCAAAAGAGCCCAAGCAACAGATTAATACCTCCAATATAAGCTCCAACTGAAGTAGATCTCGGATCTACACCACTCCTTAGCAGCAAACCTCTTGATCTTCAAGCCCCTTTCCAAGATTTTCTCCTCCAAAGCTCTATTCTCTCTATTAATGGAAACTCACTCGATTCTAGGGTTTCTGGATCTCAAAAGGGTAGCAAAGAGGCTGAGGGTGGGTTATAATGTGCTTTAAATAGGGCACAAACCCCGGGATTAGGGTTTTCTCTCTTCAGCACCAACTCGTCGAGTCCAAGCCGCCGCCTCGGCGAGTTGGCCACTTAATCCGCGATAGAATCCCGCTCCGACTCGGCAAGTAAGCGGACCTACTCGTCGATTTCCTTTCCTAAATTTACACTTTTGGCCCTTCATTGAACAATTGAAATTTGGGGTGTTACAGAAAAGCTTTTGCCGCCTTGAAAAAAAAATCAATTGATCGGAAGCCACAGGGTGTCGCTCGCTCTGATACCAATTAAAGAAGTATATCAACCAAACTAACACTTTGATTGTATTAGAGAAATTCAGTATCACAAAAACTCTAATAATTGACCTATCTTTATACATGATCAACATGCATATATATATATATATATATATATATATATATATATATATATATATAATTCATATTGGATTACAATTCCTAAACAAAGAATTAGGAAACTTTCCATATAACACGTATCTTGGACAGCACTCCAAAACACTGATGGGTCGACCCGCGACATTAAGCCCATGGTCTCCACCCATCCGTCCAACACCATATATAAGAATAAAATTTAAACATTGTATTTTATTACAACCATATATAAGAAACAAATTTAAACATTGTATATACATAAGTAATGCAATATCCAACTACCTAGTTTTACCACTACAATGGTTCTAACACAAAACTAGTACCCCTCACCCTCTTAAACACTAAAAATGTTAATGTACATAACAAGTACGCAAGGTATATGTAGGCAAAACATTACTTGGTAATATTTTTCAAAAACACTACCATTTAGTAGGGTTGAGCGTGACAAGGTTTTTGTTAAAACCGCACTGAAAACCATATAGATCGTTTTTTAGTTTGTTAAAACGCAACGTTCGGTTTTGTGTTTAGTGCGGTTTGCGGTTTTAGGTGCGTTTCAATTTCTATGTGGTTGGGTTCGGTTTATAAACCATAATAAATATGGTGCAGGTTTTACATCTGGGAGGTTTTAAAATCCCCAAAACTTATGGATTATAGCCATATTTTCTTGGATCTATAATAAGTCACATACAAATATAAAACAACGAGTTAGTGATTAAAATTCTAGAAAATTTCGAAAGAAATATTGAAACTATGGCCGCTTGAGACGACTTAATATAATATTTTGTTAGCTAAATATTCACTTTGCAAGTCTTCGAACTAAATCTTAAAAATGAAATTTCATGTTTTTCTTTTTAGTCTATTTTAATTAAAAACATAAAATTAATAATATATCTTATAGATATTAAATAGGTGATATATATTATTTATTTAAATGGTGCGGTATGTCTAAGCGTGTTTACGAATGGTGCGTTCTGATATTTTTGGCGCGGTATCTATAAATGCAAAACCATACCGCACCGTAAATAATTGTTATTTACAAAATTAAAAACCACAACATTAGTTTTTTGTTCAGTTTCAGTTTGCCAGTTTTTTTTTTGGTATTTTCTTGAGGTTAGGTTTTTGTCCACCGCTACCCTTTACTAGAAAACTCAGGATAACACACCGATATCAAAACATTAATAACTCTACTGAACTTTTAGTCATCCATCGCTAAGTTTAAAAATTAAATTTTGGAGAAGTTAACCTTAGCGACAAATTATCATTGGACCAATTAATTTCAAGAATTATTCCCCTTTTAGTACAGAATAGTGACAACACATGAAGATAATATTGACTTTCATACTAATTAGACAATAGTAAGTCACTAATGTATTTAGAAATCCAAAATAAGTTTTGTGCAAGATCAGTCGCTAGATGGATTTTTTGGTAGCTAGATCACATGTGTGAAAATCTGTTTTTTGTAGCCACGAAATATTTAATTTGTGTATAGAAATACAACAAACGTCACAAAGGTGGTGTTCGTTAATTAGGTACTTAGATAAGGAATATCATCATGGTGTCAAATTTTATTTCTGCTGAAAATTTTCTCCTTTCTATTAGAGAATTCTACCGAAGTTACATGCTTTTGAAATTAAAACAAGGATAAAATTTAATAACTGAAATATAAAGCAAACAAAAGCCAACACACGTACCTACAACAAGAATCAACTTAAAACAATCATTTGCATAAAACGAAAAATACTCGCCTTAATTAGCTTTATTGAACCAATTATTGCTCGACATCCACCTCTTTTTGACCCGACCATTTTCTAATTCTCTTTTCAGCCATGGCTGCCTAAAATTTCAGAAAAAGAAAAAGAAACAAGTCAAATTTGAAAAGCTGATTAAGGATTGAAATTGTTTTAGGACATGAGAAGAGGACACAATTGGTAATGTGGTGAAAAGTACCTCTTTTTCCCAGCTGGTTTTGTAGCAAATCCAAACCAAGATCACAGTTTGTACCACTGTTCCAGTCAACATGCCTATCCATATACCCTGCAATACTTGATAACATTAGCCTACATATTAATTTTGACTAGTGTAATCAAAATTAACTAGAGTAAGGTTTCCCTATACAATTCTTTTGAATGTCATTTTATGGTTGAAAAATCCATATCTTTTGTATCACTAGTTGGGACAAAATGGGAAAAAAAGAACTACATGCGTGCGATGTTTTGTAAAATTTGTATTGGTTGACAATGGTTTATGATGGAATGCAGGAATAATAAAATTAGCTTGCAGACCTTTACACCCCAATCGGCAACAAATCCCAGAGTCAGTCCCAAAGGAACGCCAAAGATGTAGTAGCATGCTATATTTATATAAGCAATCACACCTTGCCATCCTGCCCCAATTGCCACCCCTACATTTTTCAAATGAAAGATGTAATTAACAAGACCAGAAAAATTACAAATACCAAGAAGTCACATGCAATAAATTTTGCCAACGTGAACTAGCTAGCCTAGTCGTAAAACATATATGAGTAGTTTAGAAGTACTATTTAGTGGGTAGGTGTTAGCAGTTAAAAAAAATAAAAAAAATCTAGCTATATATCTAATAATTTAACACAATAATTAATTTGTGTTACGTTATCTATATATTAATAAATTAAAAGGAATTATTTAAATAGTTTTACTATGTCTATATCTATAAAGATAAAATATCTCTAGACAACCTTATATCCCAGATGAAGTCAAGCGTGCTCTTCCTGGCTACCGGCACTCGTATCCAAACAATTTTACATTTGAGTTTATTAAGAAAATTTGGCACATTCTATGGTAATGTGATTGATGTTGTTGTGGAGTTTGAGAGCTTGGATTTGATTCCGAGGGGTTGTAATGCCTCTTTCACCACCCTTATAACCAAAGTACCATCATAAACTAGTATCGGGCGCCCTCTTAGTTCGTTCGAGATTATCTAACAAGATATATTGAGATTCCTTGTGACCTGCCGAAAAACAGGCCATCAGCTTTGTCGTTAGCGATATTATTCAGACAACGTTCATTGAAGGACATCAAATCTTGGATGAGTCTCTAATGATAAATGATAAATGAGCAAATAATGTGGTGTAAGAGCCTGGAAATTAAGATGATTATCTTTAACTTGATATTGAGAAGACATACAATTCCTTAAGTTAGGGGTATCTTGAATAAAAAATGCAAGTCTATGGGTTTTAGCTCCAAGTGGATGCAATGGCTTTTAGGTTTTTTATTCTCGACGTTTGTGTAGATGTTGGTTAATGGGTATCTTAATGATGACTATGAAAAGACGTATCATAGTAGGTGATCCATTGTCAACGTGTCATGAGAATCGAAGACCCGAAATAATTCAGATTCCAATTTTCAATGGGATAAGTATTTGGAACAGGCGGAGGGCTATGAGTGTAGATGGGTACAACCCAATTCTAATTATTAAAAGTTTTGTACTTTCCATATATAACAGCTAATAGCTAAGGTTTCAATTATACTCTAATATCGTGTTCAAGCTAATGAATAAAAATACTCACTTCAAACCCATGGAAGTAGGTTACGCCGGCCGAACCACATTTTATTTTGTGTCTTTACGTGTGTGTGTGATTTTCTCATTTATTCTGGATAATCGCCCTTCCTTTATTTTAGCTATTGAAGGTCTTCACATCTATTTTGTAGATGCCACACGTAGGGGAATGGTCAGGGACTAACGTTTGAAACTTGATTATTGTTTTTTTTCTTTTATCTAGATTCGAGTTTTAAGATAAATATATCCCATGTATAGCAATCCATTAGGGTTAATCTTTTGTTCAATCAATACACTGAATTAGAGCTGGAATTCAATCTTGCAATCTCTGTTTTTAGTTATGATTTCATTTATTCTAGCGTGTTCATAGCATGTACAATCATATACATGATGGGAAAAGAAAAATAGGGTTAATATCATAAAATATTTAATAAGCAATAGAAAGTGCAAAATGTATTAACGAGGAGAGAAATAGAAGTTATTGTGAAACAAAATATGTTTAATTCTTGTAAAACATAATGAATGTGAGTAGTGGGTAATAGTTATTAAGGAACAAATATATAAATATTAATGGATTTGTACCATATTAGAAAATTTTGGATCTTATTAGAGCATTCACAATGGAGAGTTTAATGAGAGAGTTGAATGAGATGGTAAACCTAGTTGTCATTCAATTAATTAAACTCTATCATTATGAGATGTCATCTTGACATTCAATGAATTTGAAGTTCAATGAGCATTGAACCCTTCAATAAAAAAAATTAAACTTTTCCTAACTCTTACATAAATATTTAAATATGTTTCATTGAACTTTATAGAATTCAACGTATTGTAGGAAACATTGATAGAGTTATATGAAATATATAGAGTAATAATGTGTCAATCTGTTAAACTCTATGAAATTCAAATGCATCGTGGATGCTCTTAATTAACAATGTAAAATAGAAAGTGTTCAATATTTATGAGTTGTGACTAGCCTATGACCTTACCTCATAGATAAATCAAAGTCAAGACCGAAGGTTACATATACTACTCACGTTGAACCTTAGTCTAAGGCTTGTGCATGAATAAAACTCCAATGCACACTCTAAGAAATAATCATCTCCCTCAATATTTTGTCTTAATTTTTAATTATATAAATTTCCAAAAAAAAAAAAAAAAAAATCATGATCACATACCGGATAGTGCAGGTTGAACTTCATTAATGATAAGGCAAGCTGCTAGCAAGGGAGTAAGATCATAAACGATTTGTTGAACTTCAAGACTATCAGAAAACAGGGCTGGATACTGATTTCGGAAAATGCCAATGAGGGCAGCCAACAAAACACCCACCAAAAAGGATGTAATCACCACCACAACAACTGAGAATTTCGCAGTTTGGGGATGGGATGCTCCTAACTCATTTGACACCCTTACACTGCATATGCATGCATCCAAAATTAAATTAAAATTTGTATTTATTTATTATTATGTTAATTTTACTATATATCTAAAACAAAATCTTGGATTTGGAGGAATTTGTACGCATATAAACTAACCTGATGGCTGCATTGAATCCCAGAGCTATCGTTATTGCCACCCCTAAAATGTTTGTGCTACAAAATTTGTTACAAGTAAAACATTTAGATGCATAAAATTGTACAAAGAATATATAATATTGTTGTATAAAATTGGAAAGAAGTCTATTTGTAAAAAAAATATAATATATTATTATGGACTATATGGAAAAATAGGAACGAACGTGATCTTCAACATCAATACTAAGGTCAAGAGTCGGTTAGCTTTAGCCTATGATGTCAAACCTATGATTTTTTTATGGATTAAGAGTAGAGCGAAATGAGGTAGGAATTTGATTTGGAACTCTTGGGTTGAAAACCCATTATATTGTACCATGTAATTACAACTTCTTGTTGTATTTAATTGAAGTCTCGCTATTCAATATATATATATATATATATATATATATATATGAATAGCGAGACTTCAATTAAATACAACAAGAAGTTGTAATTACATGGTACAATACAATATATATATTGATGTTTGAAATTGGAATAAGAAGTCTATTTTATGTGATGAATTGATTAAAATTTTTATTAACAGATTACAAATAAAATATTGTTAGTATCTTATAGTTATTAATAACAAATAAATAGTAATAATAATAAAATGAAAATAGTAGAAAGTAACCATATGGAGAGTGCATCCACTGAAGTTTCAGCATTCTTTAAATATCCAGCAAAAAGTACCAATGCCATAAAATACCATGTCTCCAAACTGCATCAAACATTCGAAACACGTTATATTCAAGTTAATAAGCTTCCACACCAATATAAAATAAAAAACATGCTTTTCTGAAAGGCATAAGTATTGTCGTCTTTGGTTAATACTTTAAAGTAATTATTTCGGATAAAAAATGTGGTTTGTAAGGAAAGAAAAGGGTAATATGGTAATTACTGAACATACCAAAGCATGACGGCTGATGCAAGGGAAAGTTTAACGAAGGCCCATAGATTACTGAAGGCGCCCCAACTAAACCCTGACCATGCTTCACCACAAGTCCCACTGAGAATATAAATCATCTGAGCAATCACCATGAACCACCATGACGAGTTGAGCACTATAGCTCCTCCCCATAACCCCCATCCCAACTTCAACATCAACAACCAGCTAAAAAACGTATGTAGCACCAACGCCACCGCAGATATGTAAGCCATCACCATGATCTTACTCTGCGACTGAAGAAACTTGATTATTGGAAAGTTGAAGGCGTAAGCAAACAGCTGTGGAATCATCCATACGGCTAGCTTCCCAGCCGCGTGAGATATATCATCAGTTTGTCCAATGAAGAGGAGTATTGGAGTCGCAAAGATGTAGAGGAACATCAAAAAGAGAGAAGTGACAAAGAGAATAACCCACGATCTCTGCATATATTCTCCCAACATATTCACCTGACCTGCTCCAAATGCTTGTCCACACAAAGTCTCCAATGCGCTGCCCATTCCAAGCTGTCCATTTCATGCACATATCATAGACAATATCAATCTTATATATATATATATATATATATATATATATATATATATATATATATATATATATATATATATATATATATATATATATAGAGAGAGAGAGAGAGAGAGAGAGAGAGAGAGAGAGAGAGAGAGACCTTAATTATGATCAATACACAACCAGTAAATAAAGATACTAACCAAGATTCCCAAAGAGAAACCAGCGATGACTGAGTTTTCAATGGAGAAAGCTGCGAGTTCGAGAGTTCCAACATGACCTAAGAGGGTTTGTGTGATGGCACCGAGTAAGTATTGACTTACAGTAGTGAAAATGGCAGGGGCAGCAAGGTACCAAAGTTTTTTTGATTCAACTTTAAATTGGACAAAGAAATCTTTTATTCCGTTGATTGGAGAGATATCTTCCACGTCGCCATTGAAGTGAGCGTTCTTTGTAACGGTAAGAAGGGGCGTTTCTGAGCTACTCTCCATTGAATAGTCACACCCACACACACGCACACAAAGAGTAGTGTGTGAGGGAAGAAAAGGGTTGAACAATCCAATTTTTGGTGGTTTACATCCACTTATTTATATTGCATTTTTAAGAACATAAACGAGTTTTTTGAGTTTTGATAAAACTTTGTAGAAATGGAGCTCTTTTAATTGTGTTTGTAGAAATGGGGTTCCAGGCCCACAAACTCAATACGTAAATGAAAGGAAGCCCCAAACATTGATCCTTTGTCTTTTAAAATATGTTAAAATTTTATCCTTTTATATTTTTTTCTTCTACATTTACCTAATTTATATAATATCAACACTTATAATCCCTTATAACTTACAACATTGGTCCCTTGTCTTATAAAAATATGTTATAATTATAATCTTTTGTAAAATATGTTACTACTACATCTTATTAAATTTACGTAAATTTTAAATTATAAAATAGTTCATAAAAATATTCAACATTGACCCTTATTTTATGAAATATGTTACTACTAAATCCTATTATATTTTTTATTTGTACTTTGTACATTTACTTAATTTTAATAATATTTAGCATAAATATATTATTTAATTTATAACTGACGCTTATTAGTTTTCAATACCATATATATCTCATTTATACATTTCCATTAATACTAATATTTAATATTGTAATAATAAGAAATAAGAAAACACATAATTGATATTACATTACTTAAATTCAGAAATCATAGTACAAAATCACACAAGAAAATACAAGATCAACTAAACATGAAATTACAACACAATCAACCAAAACATAGTTTACTACTAATTGAATCTTGGTTGAGAATTTGAACAATTTCTTCTATTATGACCTGGTTGGTGGCATAGTGTACATCTGTGAGGTTCATCAGGATGACGAATGTCCATCTCATTACGAATTCGGTTTGTACGCCTTCGTCCTCGATGAACGGAAAGTTTTGAGTAATCTGCTTCAATCGTCCAGTTTGAATCCAACCAATAATCAGCATGAGGAAGTGGTACAAACCCAAAATTGTATTGTTGTCTGTACGTCATAGTAGTGTACACATTGTTCATAATAGAAAGAGGGTTGTCCCCTCTATTCCGACAAACTGCAAGTGCACGTGAACATGGAAATCTCTCCATTTGCCACTTACCACAAGTACACATATGTTGAAAATAATTAACAGTTTGTGTATTTCCTCCAGTTCCATTTATTTGTGACCTTGTGATAATTCTGTAAACACCTTCATTGTAGTGAAACTCAGATAAAACATGACTCTGTGCACGAGTGTCACGTTTAAGAAATAGACGCCACAAACATTTTGGTAGAGGTGTAATACAGTTCATTGCAATAGTACTATGCTTTCTGAAAAGTTGCACAGTTCTATTGAATGTAAGGTCAATACACGCCCAAATTGGCAATTGTCTCGCTCCTCGTAATGCATTGTTTATACTCTCAGAGATATTGGTCGTTAAGAAACCTCATGTCCCCATTGATGATTTTCATCATATAAAAGACACCATAGACTTATTTTAATTTCCCTCAAATATTGCCAAGCTTCCATGTTGATTGCTTTTATTTCCCTTATATACTTAGCGAACTTCCTTTTTTGTGTGGTGCTAACCATAGACCAACAAATTTTTTTAAGGCTCACATTCTTGTACCTTTTCATGAGATTACTTCTGACATGCCTCAGACAAAAACGATGGTATGCTAATGGCTTTTTCCACTCCTCTAGATTTTCCATTGCATGAATGATTCCTTTGTGCCTATCAGAAAGAACACGTAACTGTCTATTTGGAGCAAAATAGATGCAAAATATTTAGAAACTATACATACCTTATATTAAATATATGAAAGAACTAATTATGTGAATAATATGGAAGCATGAAAGAACTGAGAAATGTGTGATTGAGTGGAAACAATTTTAAAAGAATGATGAAGAACCTTAGCTCGTAAAATCAAATTTATAGCATCAAAAAGTTTTCAATAAACAATGACATTTTTGTTTCAGATAGAGTGTTAACTTTTACAGGTTCAACTATTTGATTGGACAATTTATATATAAATATAAATATTTATTTGTTTATTATTTATATGATTCTAACAATATTTTATATATTAATTGTATTTGTATAAATAAAATAATATTTAATATTAGAAAATTTTGGAATATAAATGAGATCGTTTGTGTCGTTAAAACAATTAAATGCTATCTATAAAATTTAATAATATATTTAAGCTAGATAATATTTATATATATTAGGTAAATGTAGAAAAAAAAATATAAAAGGATAAAATTTTAACATATTTTAAAAGACAAATGACCAATGTTGTAAGTTTCTGAGGGCTCCTTTCATTTACGTATTGAGTTTTTCATTTACGTATTGAGTTTTTGGGCCAGGAACCCCATTTCTACAAACACAATTAAAAGAGCACCATTTCTACGATGCTTTTTGAAAACTGCCCCCTTTTTGCAAAAAAAACTCAACACAAACCTACCAACCTACAATGTTATATTATATTTGGTGGGGGCAAAAATACCAAAAGAAATACGGCTGCATTAGTACTCTTCGATCACAATATAAGTTCAAGAAAAGATCGTTGGAAAAAGTCGGTCGTATGCTCACCTGGGCCCAAAAACCAAGCTGGTAAAATAGCTACATCTTATTCAGAAGCAAAATTAATTGGAAGATTGTTGTAGTTTTTACATATTTACATACACTACAACAAAACTGACTTTCACACATGGCCATTTTGGTAAGGCCCTTTGGCACAATGGATTAGTGACGGACAAATATCCATTATTCAGGCATGGGATTTTTTTAGCGACCAAGTCTTCCAATTCGCTAATCCGATACAATTTATTTACCAGCAAGTAAAACCAAAGTTTAACCAACCAATTGCGACAAATCTGTACATATTGGTGACGGAATTTTGGCATCAGGATTGAAACAGTTTTGAATAGCCGGTAAGCAACAGTCACATAGCCATGCACGAATTTGACAGGGATCCGAGCCTGATTAGCAATGGACATTTGCACGATGAAAGGTCGCCAATCACTTATCCATCCCTTATTTTACCGATTAAAAACAATATAATCTTACAAAACATGTGTATTTTCTGTAATTAAGAAAAACTAATTATAAGAAACAAACAAATTAAATATCAACCCAAGCAATTAACATAAATCTAGTAAATTTTCAACTATGAAATTACACCAAAAAACAATAGGACGAGCTGGTTGGATTGTTGCACTTTCATAAATTTCTTCAAAAGTTTATTCATTTGGTGTCAAAGACCGGCTTCAAGTCTTCATATTCTCACTGCGGGCGGCTTCAGACTCTTATTGTTCTCTTTTACATGTTGATTCAGACTCTTTACGTTCTCATCAACGGATTACTTTATATTCCGTTCTTTTATAAGATTTTGTTGCATTTTTACCATTGAAGACGAACTTCCATCTCCTTTCGTTGTGTCCTCTTCCAGGACCTTCTCCAGACTACAGAGACTGTAGCGAAGATCACCGCCAAATTCAGGGAGAGGGCATTGTTGGTCCCGCAGTACGATGTTGATATGTGCATATTTAACTACATAATTTAATGCATATTTTTAATACTTTTAGCTTCAATTATGCTATTTAGAACTAAAAGATACTTAATATGCTTTGAAATGTTCAATTACAGTTAAAATAGGAGCTGAAATGCAAAAGGAGGAGAATGGAGCTGAAAAGACGCAAAAATGATATGACTGGCAGATTGACCCTTCTTCAGTGTTTCGGGTATATCTGATGACTCATAAGTCCAATTGACGGGATTCAAAATGTTATGGAAACTAGACAAAATTTCCTACGACTTATGTGAGATGGCCTTTATGCTAATTCAGCTTTTATCATATCCAAATGCGGCCTTGAAGATGTAGCATAAAAGCTAGACATACATTCCCTCCAAGTTACTTATTCCTCAAGCACCACTTACCTATTTTTATTTGCTTAATCCCTAAGCCACCATTAGTTTCCTATTCCAATCCAACCCCAATATTCCATATTAATTCCATATCCATTCAACTTTAAATACCCCATATCATTCCACCATTTTCTTCATCTATGATATTCCACTTCGATTTGTGCAGCAATAAAACTTCATAGCTGCCGTTTTGAGGGTCTAGAAGGCCGACGGAGGGCCACTAAGCTCATATGTAGCGAAGATCTGAAGGATTTGAGAGCGGATTCATGTTGGGAATCATTCGGTTTACTTTTCTGATCATGATTAGTGTTACATTTGTGTTCCTACTGTTTTTACTTTCTGAAATCAGGTATTAAAACCTGTTGCTTTTGATTGGAGTAGATAAAACACGATTTTATGTGTTGATTTCAATGATTTTGGATTTTATTAGTTTGGTTATTAATTGCGTTTGATTGATCATCACCTATCATGTTAAAGTTATGTTTTTTATTGCCTATTGCTGAGTTATGTGTAGTTGAGAGAACTAGTCTAATTACACTAACTTGAATCTTGATTAGTTTATGATCATTAAACTGTTAGGACTAGAAATTGATTAAATCCTAGGGTTAGGTAATGTTAATATGTGACTTTGGTTGTGTTAGAGAGCTTAGATATCCATGCTATGCTTTGATTGATTGTCATGACCATTGATGATAAATCACTAGATCATATCATTCATAATCCGAATATATTAAATTAATTACGTGTTTACTAATCGCATGATCATTGTGTTAATTGTTCATTAATTATTATTAGTACAAAGAAATCCTATAAAGAGAACTAGTCACATTAGAATTCGGTAACCAACTAATAGATCCATTGCACTATTAACCAAGTTAACAATGATTTTGAGAAGTAATTAAATATAAACTTGAGTACCTTAAGTGATTCGTTTCAAATTAGTTTATCTAGTTAGCTTAATTTTATTGAGTTCTTATAATAAAACCCTTTTTTTATTATGCCCCGCGTAAATTCAAGTACGCCCAATGTACGTAGGTCAGTTCAGAATCATTTAAAAAGAAATTTTCGGCCAACCAGAAAAAAGAACTCGTTTTTC